ACACTGGCGTGAGTTGGTCTCCAGGACCCATGCATAATTATGCCAGAACCGTAAGGTTCTGTTAAAAAAAATAAAAAATATAATAATATAATTGTAAGTTTATATTCATTGTAATGTATGCGAGGAATGAGCCCTCGCTAGGCACTTCTCGGGCATGCAAATGTTCTGGTCTGTGGCCCCCAGCAAGCCTTGTGCCCACCCTAAGTGAAGGCGGGTGTCCACGTGAGGCCGATTTTTTACATTTTTCGTAAGTGGGGTATCAGACAGTTGCTGCACGCCAGTTGGTTACAGAGCAACATTAGCCTCTCCTGCTCTTTCCAGAAAAAGCAGCTGTGATGTACAGTTAAGCCCAGGGCTCAGGTAGTTGCACCCTGGGCACACGCGATGGGAGGCCGACACATCACGCAGTGGCAGAATGCAGCGTTGTTGTCACACATCTACCGCAAGCCAATGAGAATGCGGCAAACACTTGGAGCCTGGAGGGCTGCATGGACGTGCCCAACTGTAGAGGGCCCAGGCCCGGAACGGCAAAGGTGGGCCTGGGCGCAGACACGGGGGCCTGACTGGAAGCTACTGGAAACTGGCCCTGCCAGGCCCAAGCGGCCAGACACAGGGCTGCACTTTCCATAAAGGAAAGTGCCCTGCCCAGGCAGGTGCATTCTGGTCTAGGCAGGCATAGCGGCCACACTGCTGCATTGCCAAGCGCTGCTGTGATAGCGCTAGCCGGCGAGGGCGCACGCGGGCGCAGAGAGGTGAGAGGGCACTGTGGTGGCAGTGGGCGCACAACGGCCATAGCCGGGCCGAGCGTGCGGTGGCAGGTGACGATGATGGTGGTCTTCGGGTATGAGGCGCATGCAGAGGGGAGACAGGGTGTGACGAGGGGAGGAGAGAACGTACCTGGTGTATGCTGGCGGTCGGCATTGGTGACGACGTCACGTACATTGGTCTTCAACTTCGATGTGATCCAGTTGCATGAACGTAGATAGGTGTAGATAGGCTGAGTAGTGTAGGCTGGGCGCTGGGCTCCATACAGTTGGAGCAGCATTGGATACTGTGTTGGTGTGGCCAGAGAGCGTCAACATTGGCATACGAGTTCATTTTATTGCTCTTATTTGGATGGTATCTTGGTGCATTGTCCTCTCTGCTTGGTACATGAATATCTGTGCTACTACTTCGTGATTTTGCAATCTGGATTTCTGTCTACCGGTCTCGCTCATATTCCTTGCATATAGTATATATTATCATATAACATATTATAATTTGACATTAGAAGAGAATTGTGGTGGTTATTGGGCAGCGCAGCACTTGAGCCAAAATAATCTTACTTCTCCCTATTGCCTGGTCTCTCGAGTTGGACGAGTCCTCTGATGCTGCCTCAGCAGAAAGGGAAGGGAGTAAAAATACGTAATTTGTTTCTTTGTTCATTTCTTTCTCTTGCTCCTATTCCACCGTACCGTCCACTGATGTATCTCTTCTTCTTCGTCTTCTTCTTTTTTTTGAACACACACACTCATGGCCCCATCTATTCTGGGGGGCGTTAGTCCGGTTGCTTATCACCGGCAAGCCTGATGTATGCCCACTGTTATATTTCTAACTAACTGGATGCTTAACTTTGCCCTCTTCCGACCAAACTTCGCGCCAAAGGCAATACCTTGAACGCAATGGCTTGAGAGATGTTACCTTTGGGCGAAGCAATCGAATGCTCTGGTGCTGCATCCACAAAAAGGCGTAATGGGTGAAGAGAACTGGATTCTTTTCCTTCCATATTTATTTCTATTGCCCCTATCTACTCTCTGTTTCTATCTCACAGTAGCTCTAACCAGAAACTTATGGGCCAAAGACAATGGCTTTTTTGACAAAGTGGGTTCAAAGGAGAGCCCTTTGCTTCCCTGACCCTGCGGGATGCTGCAGTTCACCTTCCAAGGTAAAGCATGCGTGTACCACCATGACTGAGGTTCCAGCTGAAATGCTGCTCTTGTATTCCTTTTCTTTTTCTTTTCTTTAAATTCAATGGCTTGGGTTACTATTTGGGGTAAGACGAGAATCCCCCGATGGTAACCCTCTGCTATTGGCTCTTGTCCATTGGTGCTGCTCTTGTATTCCTAAGAGGGTAAGAGTGAGGATGGTAGATAGATAGATATATAGATCGATAGATAGAGATAGATAGATTGAGACAAATCGATCGATCGATCGATCGATAGATAGATAGATAGGGGAACGGCACGACTGGCCTATTGGTGAATGCTTCTCTAGTTGACATGTGATTGTGGATGGTGATTGTGCTCTGGGGCTTTGTATGAGGGGGAGGGAAGGCATGGCAGTGCTCCAGTTTGATGCTTGCTTAGGTGTTCCATGGTGTCTTTAGCTGTGGGGCTTGTTGGTTGTTCAGCAGCTTGCGTAGCAAGCAGATAGATGACAAGAGAAGAGAAGGATGTGGAGGAATATAGCAGAGCAAGGCTCTTCGATAGCTTTGTGACAGTGACACTCTTGACCGAACAGTCATGGAGATCTTAGCAGCTATGTCGATGTCAATGCTGGATATATTTGGTGATAGAGTAATAAAGCTGTGTGATCACCTCCAAGGTCCTCCATCCACTGGAAAAAGAGGAAGATTGATGCTTCTAGGGCGCACTCATTCACCAATGTCTCCATGCCGGGGCCTCGTCACATAGCATACACGTCTCTCACATAAGCCCTCCCCGATGCCTGCTCTCTTGCCTGAGTCGCTGTCTTCTGGCTGACGCCGCTTTGCCTCAGACGCTGCTAGTAGCCTCCACTGTTCTCCTTCACCTCTACTGAGGTGCAAGTCTACTGTTTGAAGACCAAGGGCTGATTCAGTAAATGTGAGAAAGTGTGAGACCTAATCTGGATCTTTGACCAACCCTCAATACGTCTTTTAGGCCGGCAAATTCCTCATCGCACCTCATAAACAGGACTGGGTCTGAGACGATAAAATGGGTTGCAGGATCCTTAAGCTAGCCTGTACCGCTGTTGGCTGCTTCAATCAGTTGTCAGCTCAAGCTCCATTACGTATAACTGTGGTACCGGCTACCCCCAGCTTGGAAGGGAAGGATTGTAAGCAATATCCGAAATTTTACATCCGCTTCACCCTGCACTTCCAGTGGGTAATGAGGTCGTTGAGGTATTCAAATTGGATTTAGGTATTTATGTGGTTGTCTTGTGGAGTCCCACTCATATGGTTAATTTTGGAGTATCGTTATGGAAATGACAGTACTGCAAGGAAAGATCGTATGATATCCAATGCTTTTTGAGATGGGTTCTTGAGTGGAAAATAGAGCTATCAGCCAGGAAGGCCTTCGCGTACAAGCCATCCACCTCCCCATGTGCTGAACTCAGGTCTTGTGGTTGGCGACCGAAGTCACTTTGTGTCTTGCATAACCGTGTTATTGTTAGGTGCTCTGCATATTGTACACATTGTTTATGTGCATGTGCGTGTCAGTGGGCGTGCATGTGTCTCACACACACACACACACACACACACACACACACACACACACACACAGAGAGAGAGAGTAGTTCCGAGTTATTGTCTATTTATTGATGCGAGTGCTTCTTGTTGGCCGCCGCTGCTGCTGCAATTCACATGTTTTTTAAAATGGTGTAATGGTGTGGTTTCGGGGTGGTTCTGATCAGTATCCAATGTGTGGTCGAAGCCAAGGGTGAAGGGAGATATACCATCGCCAAGGGAGGGCCACAGTGCAGCGCTTATTGGCAACCGGCTCTTTGTGTTTGGCGGTTGTGGAAAGGCCAGCGATGATGCAGAGGAGACTTATTTCAATGACTTGTACATATTGGATACGGGTAAGTTGGGTAAAAGAGTGAAGAATACAGCTGTACCTCTTTTGTGCTTTGGTGTGCTGTCTCTTGTCGTCCTTCCCTCGTAATCCTGTTTCCCTTTGCCCTTCCGGCCTTCCGTCCCCTCCTTCCATATCCTCATCGTCTTTCCTCCTCTTACCTCGTCTCCATTCCTCAGCTGCCTACCTGGCTGCGATGTCTACGTGGCATTCCACAGGTTCAGTTGGGAGCTGTGGAGGGGATGTTTCTGCGCTGTGGTGCCTGGTCCTTGTTAGGGGGTGGGATGTCATCTTGCCAGAGAACATCTTCCGTCCCCATTTTTGCTTTAGCTCCCTCCTGGACATGTTTTTGACCAGTTGAAGGACAGTTCGCAGGCTTTTGCTGCACTTCGTTTGTTGAGGCTACAGTAGACCTTTTGTCCATGGGCTAGAGATTGTTTGCCTCATGCTATTTTGTCCTATCTCATATAGTGCACTCATTGTGTTCACTGCCTTTTTGTCTGGAGTCCTGAGTCAACGTGGTCCCTACATATATAACTATCGGCAATTTTCGGCCTGCGACAAGCAGACGATCCAGGCCCTCTGATTCTACACTCCGCGACCGTCCCGATCGTCTGCTGATCCTTTTCTCTTAGAAGTTGAACCGTCGCATGTGGTGTCGGGCCTGCATGCCAGCACGTGTACTGTACGCGGTACCGGGTCCACGCGCCTGCGCGGGTACTGTCGAATGTTACTGCCCAGCGCCGGAACCGCGCACGGTACCGGAGCAGTGTGGGTACCATTGCATGTTACCGGGCCAGCGCCGGTACCGCGCGCGATTCGGGGGCAGTGTGCACTTGCAACGTATAGCAACGAACTTTTTGCGCACTGCCCCGGTAGGTAGACCGGACGCTGTCAGTAGACGTCGATTATACTTTCTGAGCTATGGCGACTGGACTCTAGACGGTCTAAGGTACTCGACGACGTTGTGGACTACTCTACGCTACTCTAAGCTCTGCGTGGACAGGCTAACCTACTTGACGACGTTGTGGACTGCCCTACTCTACGCTACTCTAAGCTCTACTCTACGCATTCGACAAACACGTGCACACACACACACACACACCCTGGGCGATGTGGTGAGTCCTTATTGCATCCTGGGCAGACTGTCGGGGCTCAGCCTCCTGATGAGTCGGTGAAAGTCTGACAAAACAGTCTGGCACAGCCCTCTCTCTCTCTCTCTCTGTGTGTGTGTGTGTGTGTGTGACACACACATGCACAGAAAGAGATTGTTGCTCCTAAGCTTTTTGCCATGCTGGAGATTGGGCTGTCCATCGGGACGGGGTCTGCATCAAGAAGGTTGGACTCTGATGCTTGGGCTGTGCATTAGAGCACGCCAGCATGACTGAAGGTGAGTTATTTCGTGCTTTTGTTTGTATGTTTGTGTGTGTGTGTGTGCGTGTGCGACCCACTTTGCTCGACGCTGTTACTCCACTGTATGCTGCGACGGTCGACTTCGACTTTGCTACTCTACTCTACGCCTCTACTCTATGCTGCGACGCTCGACTTGAACTATGCTACTGTGCTCTGCGCGGCAACGCCACGCTCAATGGTGTTCGCTACTCTACGGTGTGCGAGAGAGAGCGGCACAAGGTGGAGACGGGGAAGCGGAGGGGGCGATGGGCGCCGGATCGAGCAAACGCAAGAGAGAAAGAGTGTTGCATACTCGTGAATACTTCAACAAGTATGGGCAGAACCAAAGATCAACCAATATAGGATGAGCATGTATGCAGCGGAAGTCTGATAAATGGACTGACTCACATAGACTGAACTCATACAGATATCACTCAACACACAAGCAATCGTGAGATGGTGGGGTCTGAGCCAATCATAGATGATGCTCAGGCCCCTTACAACCATACACAGATGAAAGGTGGGAGGAGAGATGAAAGAGGTGGGAGATGTAGGCAGCGCCAGATGTCACCGAGATAGAATCCAGTAGGTCACCGATATGGTAGTCCAAAATGTCATCGAACAAGATCAAAATGTCGTGGACAATAAGTCTCCAATGGTGGAGGTACAGAGTCCTAATGTAACCGGTGTCCAATCTGTGATGCCGCCGAGTATCAACCCCAACAATCTCCAAGTCTCGAATCCGGTAAGTATCACAGCCTCTTACCACCGAAGTCCAACACTGATCTCTCGTCCAACTCGTATCATAGTCTCCAATCTGAAGAAGAAGGAGATAAAGAAGAAGTCTGAAGAAGAAGAAGAAGAAGAAGAAGAAGAAGAATCTGAAGAAGAAGAAGAAGAAGAAGAGGAAGAAGAATCTGAAGAAGAAGAAGAAGAAGAAGAGGAGGAGATAGCAGAGGAGGAGGGAGAGATGGCGAGGTAGGGAGGAGGAGAGTCCTCGTCACCCTGTCCTGGTCCAAAACCCTACCTGCAAGGTGCAAGGTGGTGCCTTGAAGCCTTTTGCAGTCGAAGTCCGTGGAAGCTATGGCGCCACAGGTAAGTACCAGGTAAGTATCTCGCTGCTCTCTATCCCGAACTGCAGTCTAGCGCGAAGTAGCGCTGCGCTCTAAACAGAATAGCGCAGCGTTCCCCCAAGGACTGCTGCTCCAGAATGCCGAACAGGCAGCCTCCCGGTACCTAAGTACCGGTGTGGAAAAGCCGGCCTCTATGCTGTGAGGCCGCCATGATCTGAATCGTCAAAAGTGACGATTCAGATCAGACCGGCGGGCGGCAGCCTCAAGAGTGCCGCCAGGCCCAACGGTAACGTCGTTTGGGCCTGCCCGTCTGGTCTGGTCCTAAAATGTGGCCTAAAGGCCGACCGGTGGCCTGCAAATGACTCTTCCGGTCTAAAGCGCCAGCCTTGGGCCTGGACCGGCCTCCGAACCCCTATCTGTCGGGCCTAACCGGGCCCGTGTGGCACAGTGTGTAACAGACAGAGAGAGAGAGAGAGAGAGAGAGAGAGAGAGAGCAGAAGTGGGATAGCAGGAGTGGGGACGGGATGGCGGGACCGGGAGCGGGAGCGGGATAGCAGGATAGGGGCACCGGGAGCGGGATAGCGGGATTGGGAGCGGCATATGGCGGAGAGGGGAAGGGGGACGTTGGCGCTGGGTTGAGCGTGCGCACAAGAGAGAGAGAGAGAGAGAGAGAGAGAGAGAGAGAGAGAGAGAGAGAGAGAGAGAGAGAG